GTGCAAATATTGCCAGGAAGAAGGGGAAAACACAGAATACTTTTGTGTTTTTGTGAAGGTCTGCGTAGGTGTACATTCTTGCAACTCGGTGAGGAAAATGCGCAAGCATGGCTCTACACTAAAGACCCACTGGCAAGGCTATGGACGTTGATCACCAACTGAAGCTGGTCAGTGAGTTATAAAAAAGTAGAAAAGCACAATAGATCTACATAGGCAGAAGGACATATGGCCGCTTCTTTTACCCCTATCCCTTGGTAGTATTTTTTTGTATACCCAATCCAAAAGCTGGAACGTTCGCTTCCAACCACTTGTCACGATAGCTCAAGTGGTTAGAGCAGTGGCGTGGCCGAAGGTCGTGGGTTCGAATCCCGCTCGTCACACTAACTTTTTCATTCCAGCCAATACCTTACATAAAAAGAATAATTGATTGAAAGAAGTAATTTGGTCAATGAACTATTAAATGTAATTGGTTTGTAATACCTGTTTTTTGTAACATCAATTTTTGATAAGGTTGATCTGTCGGAATTTTCATTATGATGGAAAATTTGATGGATTTTTTTAATAATTGTGTCGTCCTCGCCGCAGTTATCAATTGAAATGTATTTAAGACATTTAGGAGGTTTTCTTTGTAGTAATAGTTAATAGAGATGAGGTTATGTCTTTGTTGGAAGGGTCATTGTCGTAATAGTGAGTCAATTGATGGTAGTAACGCCTTTTTTCTGCCAGAATTTGTCGGAATAGTCAATTACGGTATTGAGTCTTTGTTGCTGGCCGTGTCCTGCAGTCGTTTTTGATAGGTTTATAGCATAAATAATTTTGCAGGTATCGAGGTGTAAATTTAGTAGTTTTTTCGTAGTATTTTGAAAAGTTGTTTTTATTAAGTCATAGTAATTATTTCACTATGTAGGTTTTGAATTAGTCAGTAAAAATACAGTTTTGTTAGTACGATGACTCGATGGATTCTTTCGTCTTTTCTGTTATGTATAGTCTAATCAATGCAATACAGCATCTTTATTATTCAGCTTAAATCGTTTTTTTTAATGATAATCTGGACGGTCTATCTGATAAAAAATAAAGGAGAATCATATTTTTGCAAAATATATTCTTTTTTTATATGATTCATTCTCCGGTTTTGTATTCCTTATTAAAGTGTACAAAATTACATTAAACTTAACAAGAGTAAGCAAAACACTTTGACAGTTATTAAATACGGCCTCTTCAATTATATCTGTAGTTTAAAGCTTGTTTGTATCATTAGGTAGTTAAATATGGTTAAAGATAATATTTAAGTTTTAATTGAAGAAAAGTTCTTTCATTGTCTAAACACAATGTTTCATCCATGGTTTTGAACTTTTCCACTATTTCAAGGATCTGAAGGGCCAGTAATCAGAAGGGGGAAATGTTAAGTCAATAAAGGGGCTGTACCACAAGTTCCCATCACAGGGTAAGATTGAATTTTGAAACACAACCGTGGCAAGTCTCAGGGAAGACGGGGGTGGGGTCCGTTTCAAGTTTAACAGCGACCATTTTCCAGACTAATTACAATTTCTCCGACACGATAAAACAGACACAGATGGTACATTCCGGCCGGTTGATAAACGTGGAAGAAGGATCCGCTGCTTTACCCGACGGCTTAAGGAGCTTTACGACTACAATAGGCCGACTATGAATGATCGAATGTGATAAGGCCGTCGACAGTCAACGAGTCGAAGACGGAGGCGGTCTGATTTCACGATTTTCAATTAGTCAAACAAACAGAATTGTTATTACAAGCTAATTGTATCAGCCTACTTAATTCCGAAAAAGGCATGACACAGCATGAGTTGACAGAAGTTTAAATGAACTAGAAATTCGAATATGAAAGCGAGATATGCGCTTCATTATATATAAGTGAAATCCATTTATAACAATCCTAACTGGAAAGGTTAAGTAGGTGAGCAACTTAACTATTCAAGGTTCGCAATATCTTCATTACAAAAGCATCTCTCACAACTATAAGTTTAAAGAAATGGAAAATCATATATATAAAAAAAGCACCGGTTTCACTTCATCAATTATTCAAAATATTAAGGAAAATCAAATAATTTTGAATGAAAACGGCAAGAAAAAGGAGGCCAGGGTGACAACAAAAATTAAATTGTTGAGAACTATCACGCTTTCGAATAAAATAAATCTTTTCTACAAAGACTTTTGCAAAAAAGCATTACCTACATCAGTAACATTGCCACAATATTGACTATTATTACAGACTGCACTACCTCCATACAATTCAGAATTAACAACGAAGACAAATCTACTTGTAAATTGGTTTGTACTAGAAAGATATAGAGACAAACCAAGATGACATGACTGCCACAAATCGAAAAGGAACTATCTAAATACTGACTACAACCAAATAGATGTACCATCTGCTGAATTGATTCTGACTAAAAAGACACGTCCCTAAAAGATTTCAATACTCGAGAACTGACTGACTTGACAAAATGGCAAAAACGTCGTCGCAAACTCAGACTTAACTGTTAAAACAAGACTTAAGTATTGACTATTACGACAAATACTCCGCTACAAACTGAGACTTAACGAACTCAATATTGACTGTTACTACAAATGCCGTAACTAGTTTTAAATTGATCTTTAAAACTACTTCTAAATGATTTTACAACAAAGATAACTCGTCCTACTAAGATATCGTTACAACATAATTTGGTTAATACGACAAAGACTTCGCAAAATAGTGAGTTTTAACCACCGCAGAATTGGCTATTAGGAAAAATACATGACAAGTTCAATTGCCTTCAAAGAAACCACTGTTATTTCAGAATTGATTATTACTACAAAGATCTTTAAAATAGACACCGCGATCAACAAAAATATTATCACCTCAGAATTGACTATTACCAAAAGACTACTACAAACAGAGATTTTACAACCTCACAATCGATTATTACGACGAAGACTACGCTACAGATTTTCTTTCAGTTACTTGTACACACCTTACCAATATAGTGATGAAACCAATATTTGACATATAATTATGATGTCCTCTTCATCCTAGATGAGAAGCGTCCTAGGTTAGAATGCCATATTGATTTAGATCTTTGCTACGAATCTGCCTTCCAAAGCATTTCGCCAGGGCTGCTAATATTGAAATATAGCTATAAACTCTTCTTTTTTTTCAGATTCCTGTTGTTCCCATTTCCTGTAGGTGTGAGCGAATTATCAATAGCGTCAGCTTTGTCAGATCATGTCCTGGTATCGTAGGGAAATTTCAGCTAGCTTTACCGCCTACTTTCATACGATTTACAAGATTAACAAAGATTTAATTTCAAAATTGACTATTATGACAAGATTCCGCTAAAAAAAATAAAACAACCACCTAAATTTTGTCTATTGTTTAAAGACCGTAAAAACTTGTGACGAATTTTCTAAAACAAATACAACTCGTCAAACTGAGACATCATTTCATCAAAATTCACTATTACGACAAAGGCTCTGCGACAAAATAAGACATAGCTCCTCCACTGAAACTTCTCAGAATTAATTTCCAAAACAAAGACAACTAGTACACGAAATATAACACTACAACAGAGTTTACTATTACGACAAATACTCCGCTACACACTGAGATTTCACAAACTCAGGGTTGCCAACTACTGCAAAGGCGTAACAAATTTAATATGATGTACCAAAAGATTCAATAGCAGAACTAACTAATAACCGCTTCTTTACCTACAAACACTCAGCTAAAACTTGTGACTTTACCTCAGCATTGACTATTTCAACAAAGAAGTGCCAAAGTGTCTGAGTTTATTTTTGACCACCAAATCGCTAAATGCCGAAAATTGTCTGACAGACGAAAATTATGATAAACAGACCAAATAGTATACCCATTGATATTTAGTCTGTAATCTATGAGTTTACAACTCGTCAAACTGAGACTTCGTTTCATCAAAACTCACTATTACGACAAAGACTCCGCAACAAAATAAGACATAACCACCTCCAAGTCTATTACTTAAAGATTGAAACATCTCAGAATTAATTTCTACGACAAAGACAACTAGTACACGAAATATATCACTACAACAGAGTTTACTATTACGACAAAGACTCCGCAACAAAATAAGACATAACCACCTCCAAGTCATTACTTACAGATTGAAACATATCAGAATTAATTTCTTCGACAAAGACAACTCGTACATGAAATATATCATGGCAACAGAGTTTACTATTACGACAAAGACTCCGCTACAAACTGAGACTTAACAAACTCTGGGTTGACAACTACTGCAAAGGCGTGACAAATTTAATTTGATATACAAAAAGATTCAATAGCGGAACGGGATATTACAGCTTCTTTACCTGCAAAAACAGCTAAAAACTGAGACTTTACCTCAGCATTGACGATTACTACAAAGAAGTGCCAGTATTTGAGTTTATTTTTGACCAGCAAATTGCTAAATGCAGAAAATTGTCTGACAAACGAAAATGATGATAAACAGACCATATAGTATACCCACTGGGATTTAGTCTGTAATCTATGAGTTTACACGCGTTCAACCGTATAGCAAGAATACCCAGCCGAAAATCATGTATCAATATAGACATAGTGATGTGGGAGGAGACAAACTGGTTTATTGTGCTTTTATTTAAATGATCAATTTCTCGGGGTACCATTGAACACACAACTTTCCAATTTACACAGGAATCTTACAAAACCTGGAACAAGATTACAAAAAGAAACAAGTCACAACAACTCAGAACTCCATGGAAAAACCAACTTTTCCGGGCCAATTCCTCCTGTAAATGGTGTTAAAACGAGAAAGGACGCGTAAAGTCAAGATTTGTATCAAACAGTCCGCATACGCAGGAAGTTTGAGATTGAACAGAAGTTCACCGAGGCTTTCAACTCGAGTCGACTTGGCATTCGTGTTAAGGCAAATAGCAAGTCTCAAGCAGAACAAACAAAAGTAATGTTTTTTCTTTCTCACTCTCACCTGTAGAATCGACTTGTCGAGGCTTGCTAGAAGGGTTGTTCTAGGACTTGAAAACGCCGGGGGCAGAAGCCTAGGGCTAGCTCTGCCCCCTTTCACATCCCCGCCGACAGCAAAGGTACCTGTAAAATAAACACACTTGATCACTTGATATAAAACGGTATATTTACTCAATGTGTTGAAAAGGAAAAAATCACACGGAAAATTATTAGAAAATATCGAGAACCTGCCAAAAAAGAATTCCAACTTTCCGAAACTGTCCGTAGTCTCTAGTAACAAGAAATGCCGGGATTTCAATCGTAGGCGAGCACGAGATCGAATTAATCACCTGCTAATCGAGGTAACGAGGATTACAAGTTGGAGATTAGATTTGGCGTACAATCGTAATTTCAAAAGTTTCCAGCGATTCTCACTTTTCACCGACTGGATAAATCCCCCTCTGAAGGAAGGATAGGTAATAAAAGTTTGAACAGTTGCAGAGAAAGTCAAGAAGTTTTAAAAGTCAAGTATTTTTTGTTTATGGGCTTTCGTCCAATTACAAATGAAAAACGGCCATTTTTTTCAATGAAATATAGGGAAAATTGTTGCCCCCTAAAATGGGTAGCCAGTCAAACTTTATAAGGTTTTCGTCCAATTAAAACTACAAGCAACACTCAATTTTTTAGCCAGGTTAATTTCCCAACTTTGGAATAATATGAAAGAACAAATAGTAAAAATAAAGATACATTAATTAAGTATAAAGAGAGATTTCAAGGAATCAGATTGCACAGAAATATCGGTAAAAAAATTTCCAGGTGTTCAGCCAATTAATATCAGAAAAACTGTAAATTTTACACTGCATACTGATAACCCTATTCCAGAAACAGTCTATAACTAACTGCAAGCTAAAAAAGATACCTGAATAGTTAGCAAGTTTTACGGGTTTTTTTCACGCTTTCAGCCGATTAAAATCTGAAAAAGATCCCTTTCTGGACAGTAGACTAATTATCCTATTCCAGAAACAGCATAGTTGCCATAGGCAAAAGAAACATAGGGAAAAAGTTCTCATGATTGAATGAAAAATTAGAAATTTAAAGTTTTTACTTTTTTAAAGCTTACAACGATTAAAATCTGAAAAACATATCATTTTTTGTATAGTAGACTAATTAACGTATCCACAAACAGTATAGAACAAATAAAGGCTGAAAAATTTACCATAATTGAACGAATAGTAAGACAGTTAACATTTTTATGTTTTTTCATGTCTTTCAGTCAATTAAAACCAGAAAAATGTCACTTTTTGTTTTCCAGAATAACAAATCCTATTCTAAAAAAGTGAACAAAGAAATGTAGCAAAAAAAGTTGCCATGATTAAACGAAAAGTTATCAAGGTAACATTTATTTATTTTTCCGCGCTTTCGGAAATTGGAATATGAAAAAAATGAAACTTTTTGTGCAGCCAACTAAGTATGCTAGTATGCTATTCCAGAACCTGTTTATAAAGAAATAAAGGCAAAAAAAAGTAGTAATGATTAAACGAATAGTAAGAAAGTTAACATTTTTATGTTTTTCATGTCTTTCGGTCAATTAAAACCAGAAAAATGTCACTTTTTGTTTTCCAGACTAACAAATCCTATTCTAAAAAAGTGACCAAAGAACTGTAGCAAAAAGTTGCCATGCTTAAACGAAAAGTTACTAAGGTAACGCTTTTATTTATTTTTTCCGAGCTTTCGGAAATTACAATAAGAAAAAATGACACTTTTTGTGCAGCAAACTAAGTATCCTATTCCAGAACCTGTTTTGCAAAAAATTAGTAATGATTGAAAAGTTAGCAAGTTAACAATTTTACTTTTTTCCTGGCTTTCATCCAATAACAATCAGGACAAAATGTCATTTTTTGTGTCGCAAACTGATGATCCTGTTCCAGAAAGCGTCTAGAAAGATATAAAGCCATAAAAGGTTGAGAAATTAAGGTCTAACAGGAAAATGATAATTATTATACTTAATGAAAGTTCAACAGCTTAAACTTAACGTTTCACTTGTAAGCTTTCCTTCAATCAAAATAATTATTTAAACTTTATTAAAACTTTTGAACCAGTCTGAAAATATATCTGCGAAGCAATTAAAAAGATCTAGGCAATATGGAACTGATTTGGAAGTCGTTGCCAACAATTTTGGGCTATCCTCGGTGGGTTTGTCTGTCAGATGGGTTTCGCCATCATCAGTATGTCTGAACTTCTGATTACGACAAACAGACCGCATCCAATAGCCATAAAAGTTGGGAATAGTCTTTTACCACTACGGAAAGACTGAACTTTATATTGATTAGTGCTACTTCGTTTTTGACCATTGAATTATTAAAGAAACGCCATTTTTTGGCAAAGTTAACATGTCACGTTATTTATGCCCATTATTTATTAATCAGGGAAATTCTCCCGCCTATGATAAATCAAAGTATTCAGAAAGATTTTCTTTTCAGATTTTCCTCGCCAATCAATTCCCGATGTGCAAAAAGCTCAAGGTAGAAGAAAAAGATAAAGTCCAGAAAAGCACTGAGAGTGATTAGGCCGGGCATTTGTTAGCCCAGGGTATAAATAAATCAGGCGAACAAGAAATATAAAACGATCCGGGTCACGTCGGCCACGTAGGATGGTAAAGGAAAAGCGGAGTAAAAGAGTGAGACGGCTTAAACAAACGCCCTAACGGTACCAAAAACACTTTCACATTATGTAAAAAATTACACTCAAAGAATAAATAAATGAATACTAAAATCCCTCGGCTGAGAAATCAAAACGAAATCCAACGCGCAGTAAATTCCCTTGGATATTGCGAAAACAGGCGGGTTTGCCGAATCACTGGGAAGTTAGCACAAATTAAACCTCTACAAATTTTGTTATACAAAGGAAGATGAAATATATATTATAAAAAAAAAGCCCCGAGGCGGAACCAACGGTTTGACTTGAGGTCCGTGTACTTCAAACAGAAAAACGGGAAAGAATCCAAGATGCTTAAAACTTTCAGGGCTTCTGTACAAATTGCACCCCCCCCCCAGGCTATAATTTTCAACCTGACTACACTCAGAATTGAATCCATGGACAATGAACTCTTCAAATTACACCTCGGGATATATTACACTTAAAAACTTTATGCAAGCATAGATTTTTAGAAAAAGAAACAACTTTTCATAATTCATGATCAGGTTATTCAACCATACGTCAAAAACACGCTCATTTTCTTAATTAAGGAAGTCAAACAATGAAAACTAACATATTTTTACATAGAATTATCATTACAATATACACGTAACAAATTTATGTTTTGTTAGGCTTCGGGTTTTTGGAGTGGTGACGAAAAATGGCTGTAAGTAATCCTTCTGTCATGTGATATTCAAGACACGCGATACTTCCGCTTCATGTTAACTACCTGTAATCTTAAATTATTGGCTTCCACGCTCCACTTGGCATCTTCAAGTATTTTCGATATTTCAATTATGTACGTGGTCACAGAAAATTCTAAGACTCTATCGCAAAGATAACATTGGCAATTTAAAGGATAGAAATTAAATAAATTAAATTTAGTCTCGATTTTTACTGAAAGCTAAAGAATCTAGAAAATAATTAATTCAACTGTTTACTCGTCCACTCACTCGTATGACAGTTTTCACCAATTCAGTCATTCATTAGTTCATTCAGTTTAAACGTTATCTAATAAACTCGTTCACAGATTCACTCACTGACTAGCTCTTTCATTTAATCCATCAATCACTCGCTAATCCACTCGTTCCTTAATTCGTTCAGTCAATAGTTCATTCATACTATCAAGCCGTACCGTACTGACTCTTCACACATTCACTCATTCATTAGCTTATTCAACCTATCAACATTAACGTTACTGACACGTTCAATCATTTTTTCATTCACTAGATCAACCATTCTATCAATTGGTACTTTGCTGCTCGTTTTCAGATTGATTCAATTATTCATTTAAATCATTAAATCATTCACACAAAGGAAGGGGTTATTTAATCTCCGCCCCGAGAAATATCGAGTACTGTTGAGTGTTGGGTTTGTTAATTTATTTGAATGAATGTAATTTATTAGCGTGAAATGAATGGGTTGTTTATAACCCCCCGCACCGTGAAATATCGAATACTTCTGGAGAGTGAATGTGACCAGATTTCTATGTTTTTATCGAGTGTTGTGTTTGTGTTAATTTATTGAATGAATGTAATTTATTAGCGTGAAAGGAGTACTCTGGGGTGAGTGTGCTACGTCTGGAGAGTAAAAGTGAATTACTAGCGAGAATGGAGTGGGTGTAACCCCGCCTCGAGGAATCACTAATTCACTGGATCTTTCAATCTATCAATCGCTCGCTGACTCATCGCATTTGCCAATCCATTCGTTCAACAATAAACCATTACCAAGTACAATTTATTAATCACTCATTCACAAATGCAACTGATTCATTCCATCATTTACACACCCGTTCACAAATTCTAAGCACTAGTGAACTAGTTACTAAGAATGTCTTTATATCCTTGGCTATTTTTTGTCGCTTGTTTATAAATCATTTATCGAATTTTATCACAGTTGAGTAAGCTCCGATTTTATACACATCGTATAATTAAAGCCACATGAGTCATCAACGATTCACCAAGGAAACTGGAGGGGAGTCACAGTACGATTTAAAATATTAATCCCTGATTTCATCTTATCCAAACACTACCGGATGTGTATGAAGAAAGAGGGATAAAACAGGTCCAGCTTAAAAGAAAAAGTAATAAAACTCAGGTGGAATAAGGTCTGACATATTGTGACAGATCCCTCGGTGTACGAGGTACTTCAAACTTTTCCCCAAGCCGGGGTTTAAAAACTGCCAAAAAGCATTAGACAAAAATATAGTTTTTTAACGATTTTTTTTTTATTCAACATTTTGTAATAATGCATACACGGCTTAATGACTGAGTGAAATGTCACTGTATCAATTCCCAACGGCGTTTCCTTTTTTCCCCGTCTCCGATTTTCCCCTGGCAATCTATCAAGCCCTACGTGGATCCTGACAAATAATAGACCTTTGGGAGGCGGCAGTTTTAAATTTATTGGAAATCCACCACAGCGATATTTAGGTGAAAAGGGAAATATTA